TGGAGAGGTTTGTGAACCACATTCTTCCGTATCTGAAATCCCCCTCTGTAAATTCAGTAGTACTCCAGAAACAGCACATTCAACGGCTGAACTCAGCACTTTCCACAGGACACCAAGACAAAAATAATCTCTCTGATGACATACCTGTGTTGACCCCTCCAGTGAGAATCCAGGCCCCGGTAGTGACTGCAGCTTTGATGAGGCCCTTGCCCACCACCTGTTTGATGCGAGGGTGGAGCTCAAAGTTCTGAACTCCTCCATGGACAGAGATGAGGATCTTGGGAAGCTCCATATGCCACTCCTTCAGCATCAGCCGCAGGATGTGTTCCGGTGGTGAGTCGTGGGACAAACGAACATACTGCCCATGTTTGCAAGGACACAAGGAAAAGTATGTTCATGTTTACACACACATAAAAAGGAAGTTGGCACCTGGCCAACAGTGTTCCACATAACTATGGATCCACAAAATTAGGTTTGAGTTTGTAATTTTCAAAGATTTGGCTCACACATATTTAAAAGCAGGATTTTCTATTAAAACGTGAGGATCTCAATACTGTGCATCAGTAATAAACATAAAGGACAGACTTTTCCCATGTCAGTTATCAAGTCTCTGTCCTCCTACCTTGGCTCGGTACGAGTGAGACCCTCCCTGGAAGTTGATGACACCATAGGCGTCAGTGGGACTCGCCTCGGTGTGTTTTTCCACCGACCACTCCTCCAGCTCAGGTACCGACAGGTTGGCATTTTCACCCAGCTTCACATCCGAGTACTTCGTGGCCAAGCTGGCAGTGAAGCCAACATGCTGCCGCACCAGCCGCCCACAGCAGCACCTTCAGGGTGAACACCATCATTATAAGTGCTAGTACAATAAAATACTTAATTCTACAAATTAAATAATATAGTTAACGCTACATTATCATTATATTATACATTAAAGTTAAGCCATTATCCAAAAATAGTTTTCAAAAGCAGAACAAAAATATGGAGGAACAGAGATACAAGAATGCCACACTTCATAAATATGAATATTAGTTTTTTTCTTTAGTTTCAATCTTTTAGCATATATGTAGCCATCAAGTCCACATTTATAATAGTTTTACAGGGTTCTCATTTCAAAGAGAGTTAACTGGAAACTCAGTTTTCCACCAACTCAAGGAGCTAACTTTAGCTTAATTAGCTAGCTAGCGACATCTGACACAATTTTCTGGCGACTGTTGTCGGTCCAGCTGACAAAACTGTCTGTTGCTGGCTTCAAATGAGAAGCCCACTTTTATCTACTGAGGTTGAGACATTATTAAAAAAATTAAAAATAATTTCAAATTGTAAATTTATCTGTCAACTGCAAAATGTGCAGAGAGAGATTAGAAATCAGTATTTCAACATTTGAAACACCCAAAATTACAGTATATCAACATCATGATATTAAAAAGTACACAAACATTTTATCCCAACAACCAATCAAACTTTGACAAACCTTCAAGACTGTTGGTCAATTTTATATCTAATGTGCCCTCAAAGTAATATTATTCCAATTAATAATAAACTTTAACTTGTTTTTCTAAACTCCTTTAATTACCCCTGTGGAGAAGCCGATTCCTGACACACAAAGCCTGGATGTTAATTGTTTCCTGAGAAGGTGTTACTCTTCAGTGGAATTACAGTGGAAAAAAGAACTTGCCTGCAGGTCTTTTCTGGTGCAAATTAACCAGCTAGTGTAGATCCCCTCAAGCTAACAAAATGAGTCTGACAAAGACCACACAAACACTTACCGGACTAGTTGCTGGCAAATCTGGCATCCTGGAAGACATCTAGAAGGAATTTCACACCGACACATTCAGTCACTGGTTTGAATAGAAATAAATCCAGATCATGTAAATGTGATGGACATTTGCTAAGGTATGAAGACAGTTACAATGGGCCGATCTCTCCTAGTGAGGAGGAAGTTCTGAATTTCTGAATCATCTATGAGCAGCTGCACACACTGAAGTTAGGGGAGGTAAAGTCAGTGGCAAATGATTGATGTAAAAGAAAACACCGGAAAAAGAGTTGCCCAATATCATTGTGAGTTTACAAGAAGAAAGGAAGGAAAGCAACTTTTTTTTAAAGTAAGAAAAAACTGAAATGTTTCACACATACATGTGAAGTGCCTGTGCAGAAACCACTGTTAAATGGTCTTATACTTGTATAGCGCTTTTCTATGCATTGCAGCACACTCAAGGGGCTTTCACATTATTTGGCCATTGACCCATTCACACTCCCAAGCACACACACATTCATACACCGGTGAGCAAATGGGGGTTCAGTGTCTTGCTCAAGGACACTTCGACATGTAGCATGGACAAGCAGGGAATCAAACCACTAAACTTCCGGTTAAGAGACGACCCGCTCTACCTGATAATTTTATCATATTAGATATTTATGTGAAATGTGGTCATGATTAGCATATCCTTGAGTTGAATCCTTGAATTATGGCCATAAACGTGCTTTGTTAGGTCATTTTAATGAGTTCATCCATGAGTCCAACTGGATGTTCATGCCAATTTTGAATAAACTCCCTCAAAGTGTTCCTGAGATACAGCATTCATGAGAATGGAATTTACAGATGGACAGAAGGACAACTCTAAAACACAGGGCCTCCACCCATGGCTGTCATCGGCACAGAGGCATAAAAATGTTCACAGTCACAAATGAGTTCACATAATTAAACACAAGGACAAAAGCAGTAAAGGAATAGGGGACACTAGACCAATATCCTTTGACGCCACAAATATTTTCAAGCGCCCCAGGTGTCTGGTGCAATCAGCTTTCTCTCAGTTTACTTGCATGATAAGACAAAAATTTGCTCTGCAGAAAATCTGGCAGCCAAACACAAGTTTAGTTATCACAACTGCAGTGACTCTGTGGAGACAAACAATGACAAAGAAAACCATACAGGGCTGATCAGGCTGATCTGATCTGCCAGGAAAAAAATGGGACAAACTGCCCAATCCAGGTGTGCAAATCTTGTAGAGACTTGCCTCAGAAGACTTGAAGTTGCAACTGCTGCCAGAGGATTCTACAACGTACTGAATTAAGGGTCTGAATAGTTTTACAAATGATCAATTTCAGTTTTTGTTATTAAATTTTCTATAAACATGTTTTCACTTTGTCATTAGAGGTTAAAGATTGGTGGTTAAATGGAACAGGGTTACTTATCCTTTAAGAATTAAATCTACACACTATAACACAACAACGCAACAGAATGTGCAAAAAGCAAAGCCACTGTCATATGATACACAGGTTGCTCATTGGTCATTCCACCTCTATAATGCTTTAAATATTGTGACAGCCATAAACATTAAAATTATGTGGAAACTGACTCATTTACTCTTTGCAGACTAGTGGTTAAGGCTTGGGCTTACTTTTACACACCCACCATACAATTACACCTTTGCACCACAGAGCACACTACAGACCATCTCAGCACATACCTGTGGGGGTCTTTTGACACTGGAAGTATGTACACACATTCCCTCTTGGTGAAAGTGCTTTCTATCCAGGGTTTCTGGGACTGTGAACAAAGAGAACAAAAGTTAAGAGCAGTGAAGGGCAACTCGTGTTCATCATGTTTGTTTGAATGAATTCAAGGCGCAAAGTAAATTGTCCTCTGAGAATGTTAAAAACAAGTGTGTGAGCGTCTGTACAAACAGTGCTGACATTATAACCATTGTAGCTTCAGAAAGAACAGTAAAGCTAATTAAACAAAATGGGGATATATAAGGTAAGTGTGTTTTGCTTCAATTATAAGAATGTTATCTGTAAATAAAAACCATTGCAACCCCTTAATCTAGATTTTAGTAAATGAAAATAAAAAAAGACTTAGAAAATGGCACGCAGAATTACGACAACTACAGCTGCAGCTGTCTTCCAGTGTTGCGGCTGCAATAAAATTATCTAATTCTAAATCACAATGTTTATTAAAACATGGCCCTAGTGCATGTCACAGGAATTTTCAATTAAAGCCTCATTCCTCACTGTTTCTGCCCACAACTGCTCATAAAGACACACAAGGGATTAGCAACATTAATCCCTCACAGCTCAGAGAGAGAAATCTGCAGACACCATCACCTGCTTTATGCCAAAGTTTTTCAACTATTCTTTAAGTAAAGAGGAAATAAGGAAGTTTTGCACTGAGGCAACAAACACACTCCAGCTGTTCTGGAGTCTCACTGAATAAAAGCACATACTCTGTAATGGGAGATTTGATATCTTGGGTAGTAATTGTTTTCCTTATCTTACAGGAAACACAAATACAGTTCCACCTGCTAAATAAATCAGCTCAGTGAGAGTTAAACAACATTATGATTATTGATAGGCATACAAAAGTGCCTATTACAGTGCCAACAGTCACATAAACATAGGGTGACAATATGACAACATACGTTTGTCCAACAGTCAGAGATTTGCTTTAACATTTCATGATGCAAGAGGCCACTGTTGCAAAAATTACACTTTCTTCTTATAACTCTGGACATTAAGACAAGATACTTAATTAGTCCCCTGCACCAAAACATTTAGCATGCATTACTGTAGTCAGCATAAATAAAAACTAATCTGTGTGCAGCTTTAGACAGTGAAGAGCCTAATCACTTCTCATGTTGTGACTGGTTGCATTTTTGGAACATGCCTCTCATAGTTATCATATCATTATGTGAATATTTATGAGAGGATGAATGTAGTGCATCTAAAAATAATTTAAAAACTGGATAATTGGTAGTTTAAAAGTTTTAAAATATATAGAATAAACTTGCCCTAATGGAATTTCACTTACTATGACTATATATAACGCATGTTGAAATTCAGTCATTAAATGGAATTGAAGAGATTGTTTAAATGCAAAATAAAAGGTACTTTTTCAGGGGCACTTCACCAAAATCATCATCTGTCACTGGGTCAGACTATGAGGTTACAATCATGTCTATGATCTACAAATAAACTTGTTTTATGTCTTCTTCTTTTTCAGGTTACATCTGAGCAGACTAAATATATTTAAAGGTTTAATGTAACATACCTAGAATAAGACTGCATCTCTTCCCATTAGGAAAAAAACATGCCTGTGACTACACTGATTAAAATGTTAACGAAAGTGTTGGCGCTTATCTTTGTTCTCTTCCACTGTTGCTGTTGCTGCTGTTTTTCAAGATAAACGTGCAAATTGTCGCTCATTAATATTTCTAGTTTCACTGAATTAAAAGTTGCCTCTGGTTTTACCAAACTCCAATACTGATGCTTTATTCGTTCACCCCGCAGGCATTTGACTCGGGCTGAACATAAAAAGGTGACAAATTAAAGGACACGCCAACATAAAGCGTCTCAGTAAAGTGCTTGGCCACCGCGCGCCACCGGAACAGCCTCCGTGCGCCTTGGCACCGACTCTGCGCATCGATGAACTCTACCGGAGGAATGATCTGCAAAACAATTTGGTATTTGATAATGGTGGCGGAGACGCTGTCTGACACGTCGGTCTAAAACCTCCCATGCTGTAGGTGCTCAACTGAGTTGGCATCTGGTGACTGTGAAGGCCACGGCATATGATTGACATCATTATTGTATACATTAATCCATTCAGTGACCCCTTTGGATAGGGCAACACACAGGTTCTTCCTTTAATTTGTCACTGTCCATGCTGAAAAGTTGACTGAACTGACTCTGATCAGGTGGTCTGAAACTAAACACAAGTGTCCCATCTCGGGTTTAATGAACTTCGAGTCCAATGTTGAGTTCAGAGTTTGTTAAATTTGTTTTCTGGGAAACTTCCTGCCGCTC